TTTTAAAATATGCTCATAACCGTCAATCTAAGCAATGCTGGTTGTTTACTTTTTTGGTTAACATTGGAAATCAAGGCTTCTAAGAGTTAAAAGTTCAAGTTCCATTGGAAGAAATTCTGTAGGTGTGATGATAGAAGGCATGAGGAATGAAGGGCCTTTTATCAGGGAAAGGAAGACAGTGAGTCGTTCCAAGGACAGTTATTTCTGATGGGGAAGAAGGTTTGTGAAAGTTGTAGAAAGGTCTGTAAAAGTTTGTTAACGCTATAAAATTTTGTGAAAGTTTTAAGTTTATACAACTATATATTCTTACCCTAGCAGGTCTGACTCAGTGGTTAGAGCATGAGCCGGGGGACTGAAGGGTCCTGGGTTCGATTCTGGCCATGGGCATGCACCTTGGTAGCAGGCTGGGCCCGGGTTGGGGTGTGTGCCGGAGGCAACCAATCGGTTTTTCTCTCTGACCTCCATGTTTCTCTCTCTCTCTCTCCCACTCTCTCTGAAAAGCAATGAAAAAATATCCTCAGGCAAGGATTAAAAAATATATATATATATATATTTTTTTTTAAAGAATGAAATGTGTGCAAAGCCCTGGGTCCAGTGCTTGCCCCACTAGTATAGGTACTTAAGTAGTTGGCAGTGGTGGAGGTAACAGCAAGGGTTGGAATCCAGAGCTTCTCCACCCCAGTCCAAGTTCTTGCCTAAAGAAAAGGGAAAAGGTGGCAGCTTTCTTTTAGAGATTAACATCTGAAAAACTGTCAGAGGGGTTATATTTTAAGATAGTAGAGTATTCTTCATAATACTTGATACTCCCCTTTACAGTTCTCTTTTGGGGTACAGTGACATTATAGCCACATTAAATTACACAAATTCAACTATACATGCTTTATCACCTTTTCTTTCTCTTGTTTAAAAGAGAAAAATTTTCACACTATAAAGTTATGTTTTGCATATGCACACATGATACACTATATTACTATTCAAATACATTTAAGTAGTGTGCTATACAAAAATTCGTATGCTGTATATTGTGGAAAGTTTTATGTTAACTTTACCTTTGCTATATGTACTGATTTTAGACTCTGATATCTTCAGAGGTCTAAAGTATACTTTAGAACTCATAGTATATTTTAAAGTATACTATGAAAAAAGCTCTGTTACCTTCCTGTTTGTTTTATACCTGTATTATAATCTGTAGAGCTCATATAACCATTTTTAAAATATTCTAATACTCTGCTTTAACCCTTACTACCATATATCTTCAAAGATGAAACTGGCAATTGTGATATGAATCCTATAAAACATGAATGAAATGCTCCCTACTAAACTGCAAACATCCTGAGGTCACAGTATGAGAGTTGATCATTTCTCTCTCCCTTAGCATCTTGCCAAGTGCTCTGCACAGAGTAGGTACTCAAAAAAAACCAACATTGCTAAAAGAACAAAAGATATACCAGTGTTGCTTATTCTTTACATATACATAGGCATTAATGTTAAATTTGTCACTACTCCAGTTTGCATGGATTAAAAATTAGTCTAAAGAGCTTTCTCCCCTCCCCTTTTCTTTCAGTATATATACAAGAACACTTTACCTGAGATGGAGGCCAAAAGTAAAGGTAAGTCCACTTCATGGGGGGGGGGAGGG